AAAGTTGTGTGAATTTTTCAATAAATTCTTTTGTCAAAACCACTTGCAATCTGATTCATAGCTGAGCGCCTTGCCGCCGGTTACACATTTGTGAGAAATATGACATACATAAAAGTACAAGCTACCTATGATAACTTAAAAGTTAGACTAAATAGGTAGCTACTTAGTAAATAGATTTAAATTGTAAAAGCAATTAGGTAGATGATACATTTTTCTATTTATATGGTATGTGTAGATACAAAGAGGATAATTCATTTATAAACRTGCAATTAATAATTGAAAGATTGTATAGAAAATATGATCAAAGAATAAGAAGAAAGAGAAAAAAGAAAGAATAACGCAATGGATTACGATAAGATAAGATTGGGAAAATAAGGAAAAGTAATGAAAGTAACGAAAGTATTTTGTCTTATTCACGCTAAGTTTTTTTAGTCCGAATATGAGTTCAAAATTTGGGTACATAAATAATCTTTAAATTTTTGTTTTTCAAATTTTTTAATCGACTCACTTATATTGTTCCAAATTTGGACACCTGAGAATTTGTATAGGAAATCACATGACCTCGAGTACAATTTGGAAATTAATGGACATAAGTAATGTTTTCTAAGTTCTTGTAATTGCATGAGCCTTTAGGTGAGTGCAATTAAAGAACTTTCAAAACATTACGAGGGTCTATTAATTCCAAATTGTACGAGAAGATCGTGCGATTTTTTGTTTATAGTTCACTCAACAAAATTTCAGTAAAAAATGCGAAGCAACGCCGTTCATCTTTGTCTATTTGGCAGCCGATTTTCAGTCCATCGCGCAACTGAAATGCATAAAAAAGATTAGTTCTTACGGCTTTGAAATTTTATTTATGTTTTTTAAGTACAAAATGATAGAAAATAATTGTTTTGACATTGTTTTGGCCGTGTTGCCATAGCGACTTAATTCGGTACTCCTATGGAGTACAATTAACGCTATAATTGTACTCCTCTCGACCAATCAGAGTCGAGTAATTTTGTTGAGTGTACTATAATATATTAAATTTGCCGTAGTTTGTGAGAATATTTGGCAGAGAAAAACACCAGTCCAAACTAGTAACTGCTAGTCATATTATCACCTTGTCTATCTTATATTAAGAATGAAGAAAGGTGTTTTGACTAAGTTTGCTAGTTATGGTTAGTTTTTTAGTTATAAACAACTTTGTTTTTTCTAGCATAACAAACCTTTGGTCAAACCTTCCCTTGCAGCTTAAATCAGCTAGCAAGTTATCTTTTCCCAAACAATTGAAATTGTTTACACTCTCACAACAGTATTCTGAGTAATTTTTAACATCTACTTCCAATCTAAAATACTAAGTAACACTACTTGATATTTTTCATTTTTTTCTTTATTAATTCACTTTTTCCTTGTAACTTCTTGTGTATTTCCATAACCTGAACAATAATTAGAAACACAAAGGCTGGGGGCTAACTAGAGAACTTCCCAGTTAACTTAACCCTCAGGCTCAATGATTTTAATTATGTACAATATTATATATGTACATATACTAAAACCCTTATTTACTGTACTATCAGCGAAAGTTGTAAACTTTCAATTACATGAGCGAATTAAAATCTATCTATCTATCTAGCAAGGAGAGTCGGATCATTTATTCCTGGACCATTCCTGGCATAGAGCAGTAGCGGTGATGCTTGTAGAGGCATCTGCCTTACGACTACCCAACAGACCAGGGGGAATCTCTCATGAAGCATTCAAGGAAGGTGGAGGGCTACTGCAACAGGTAGGAGGTCTCTGGTTTCCTCCCTCCGTAAAAATCAGCATGTGAGTTGAGTGTTGTATGTTGTAAATATAGAATGTAGTGGTAGTGCATGTGGAGTGAACCTCATGGAAGAGCCCCATATTGGAGTGAGGGTTGTAAAATTATAAAGCTGTTTTTAAAAAGATTTTCTTTGGCTCCAATGACCGTTTTTTTGAAATACTTAATATTTGAGGTACTGATTAATATTGTTTAACTAACCTTATCCTATAGGTGACATTGATTGCAACTTCGTCATACAGCCGTTTAATGCAACAGAACCATGAGCAAGTCTTTGCTGATTGGCTATGGGATATGATGCTACTGCTTCATCTGCATGATTATGACCTTCCCATGCCTGTTATGGGATTCAGGAGTCGAAGCCAAGCTATGCAAAAAAGAGGAAGTAAGAAATGATAAGTTTATTAGACAGTTCAGAGTTCAATCATCTGTATGTGAGTTAGCCATGCCCTGACTTAGATCAGCCCAGAGGTTGTTTCAGGGTTTGATCTGTGAGTTAGCCATGCCCTGACTTAGATCAGCCCAGAG